AAGTAGGTCACGGTGACCTACTTTTCAGTCGACCTACTCCGAAGACCCAAGATGCATCAACTGACAAAGTTTGATGATTCTTAGCCAATTAGTACCTGAAATATTTAATTATAGTCATATTAATTGAAAAGTAGGTCACGGTGACCTACTTTTCAGTTGACGTTTTTTGAAGATCCAAGATGCATCAACTTACAAAGTTTTATGATCATAGCCCTCAAAATGTCCAAATTATGCCTCTAAAACGCTTTGAAATCGAATGCCCGCGAAGTTCAAAAAGTAGGTCACTGTGATCTATTTTTGAATAAATATGTTTTATGGCCCCAAGATGCATCATCTTACAAGATTTCATGATTCTAAACCTCTCTGTATTCGAATTAATGGCCTTAATTGTTTTGAAAAAGATTAGCCATAAAATTCAAAAAGTAGGTCAAGGTGACCTACTTTTTAGTTGACGTACTTTGTCGTCCCAAGATACATCAGCTGACAAAGTTTGGTGATCATAGGCCTTAAATTGTTCAAAATATGCCTCTAAATCATTTTCAAAAAGAATGGCCGCAAAATTTAAAAAGTAGGTCACCGTGACCTACTTTTGAGTCAACATGATATGAGGTCCATAGATGCATCAACTGACAAGATTTGATGATCCTAGTCCTTATAGTAAGCAAAATATCAACATTTTAATAAAATGTAATTTTTGGTCAACTTTGAAGTGACCTTGAGACCACGCCCTTTGCCCCAGGGTAAATCCCCATGCAAATTTCTACAACATATCCTCATCCTTTTTTGTAAGTTTGGTGATAATCTGCCCAGTGGTTCTTGAGAAGAAGATTTTTTGGCAACCAGTACTTTTGTTTCTATTTTCCTAATTATCTCCCCTTGTTTAAGGGCCACAACCCTAGTTTTAGTATAAACGAGAGCTCTTGGGCCAAGGATACCCTCTGACAAATTTGACAATAATTGGCCAAGGGGTTCTTGAGTTATGGCCCATATTCTAAAAAGTTTACGCACACCGCACACCGCATGTCGCACACCGCTTAAATGGCCATAGTATTAGCTCTTTGAGCCTTTGGCTCAGAAGAGCTAAAAACAAAACAAAAAAAAAACAAAAAAACAAAAAAACAAAAAAAAAAAACAAAAAAAAAAAACAAAAACAACAACAACAACAAAAAAAAAAAAAAAAAAAAAAAAAAAAAAACAACAAAAAACAAAAAAGCAAAAAATTAAAGTAACCACATTGTGAAAGTACTGATAATTGACAAAATGTTAAGAGATTTTTTAGTATACCTGTCAATGAGGTATGAATTAAGATGGTTAATCCCCCCTCGAAAATCATAACATCACATCTTGATTCAAACACTTTCCTCAATAAATGTTCGTTTCAACAGCTTCTCACTGACCAAATACACCACAAAGTCACATATAAATGGCTATTTATTATTTAAATAGCAAACAGGTCTCTGTATTTAGCAAGTGTATTTGAACTTGGAATTTTCCTTAAGACCACGGTGAAAATAAAAGTAAGTGAACTTAAACTGTTTTGTAGAGTGAGTCTTCGTACCTATTTCTGCATGTGTTAAAAGAAACATTTTTTTCATATTTGTTCTAAAAAAGAAAACTATCATAATGGAGTGATGATCCACTCTTTTAAATTATGGAGTTATAGCATCCAATTTATGTCAGTTTTTGTGAAAATTGAGTGCGTTGCCATTTTGTTCTGTAAATCATAATCAATTTCGCAGTAACTGTTTTCAGGTATATGTATTGTCAATTTTGTATGCAAATGGTTATAAACATTACCTAAATTTAACAAAAAGTGGAATTTATAAGAATTAAATTTATCGATTTTTTATCGGTCTTTCTGAAGGCATATGGCTGGCTTACCCCCCCCCCCCCCCCCCCAGTTTCTTTTATCTTTAATAAATACTTGCGTTCTGATTCTGGAAATTTGATTTATTTTTATATTTAGGTAGAATAGTCAATTTTGCATGTTATCAATGGATACCTTCATACTGTTAATCTTGGTGTCCGGAGTCGAGCAGATGGACACTAGGGGTTCCACGTCCGCAGACTCTCCATGTGTTCATAAATACATTTGTTTATTTTCATTTTACTGATAGACCGTACGGCTTTAAATTCTTCAATGAAGATATATAAAATTAATAAATTCTTTTATTCGCTTAAAATTAAACTCGATTTGCTGTGTTTCGATTTCGCCAATAATTTCACATTTTCTTTAACCCCTCGGATAATGTAGGTTTGTGCCCGTTTCGCACACAGTTGAAATTCAGATGTGGAAAAAAAAACGTGTGCACAACGGGAATTTATCTATGTAAGATAATTAATTGCTAGAGTCTTTAAAACAGTTTGTGAAGGGAAAGGCGAACCAAAGTTAAGAGTTGGAAAGAAAATTACATGCAATTGACAAATGTATCTGATTAATTACATGTATTGTACTGTATTATCCGTTTCCTAAGAAGTACTATTGATTTTTAAGGAAATTAAAAATATTTACTCAATTATTTTACATTGATTTATCGATCAAATCATATTATTCATTTATTTATTCCATCTTCATTCTGCTAATGAAAAAAGGTGATTTGAAATATGAATATTCATCAACTCTTTGTACTTTTTTAGATAATACATTTTAAAAAAAAAAAAAGGCAAAACCATATTTTTGTTCTGAAAACTGAACTCACTCCTACTGGTCCATACCTAATTATTAAGAAGTGTGTGCAGAACAGGAACACAAAGTGACCGTAAAAAATGTATGTAGCGACAATTAATTAACAGGTTCAGTCTATATATAATCATCAAACTTCAAACTTGCTATTTTCATCTGTTGATTTTTTAGGATACCAAAAATGAAGTCTTCAGACTATCTACAGAGAAGAGATTTATTTGTTGTCTTTTTCACATTAATTTAAAGTTTCTACTTTTCAAAAACATTCGCTTTAAATATATGTAATTCGCATTATTTTGCTACGAAGTTAATAATTAAAAAACCATGTGAAAAGAGTATACAACTATTAAGTCTTGGTTTTCTGTATCCTTTTTGTGCATTATGCAGGTCTAGTCGGCCTCCGTTTTCGGAGTATTGCCAAAAAGAGTTGCTGTTCTTTGTTTGGTTAAGCGTCCAATAAATTGCCCTATCCTCCAAATAAGGAGGCCGCCTAGACCTTTTATGTCCAATTTAATGTTACAAGTATGATCAACCTGTAATCTATCTGCAATATATTCCTAGTATAGTATCCTACGACTTTGAAGCTATCAGATCATTATTTTCACCACTTACTTGATTTTCGGAATGCCATGTTATTGATGATATAAATATCCCAATGTGGATGGGGGCCTATACAGGATCTCACGATGCCAGGTCTCCTGCATCTCCAGAGCCACGTCACGTGATCTACACTGTCCTGTGATCTTCCTCTGTAATGTACACTCTCTCCTGTCTGTTTCAATTCCTCTAAATACTTCTTCCTTTTATTTTTATTTCCTCGTACAATATCACTTGGGATCATCACTTATGTTATGAAATGAAAGAAAGTAATACAGTAGTAAGTGTTCTGATTTGAATCAAAATACATAAGCACGTAAATAAGGGATTTAGAGTGAAAATTATATGACAGTAGTGCTCTTATATGAAAAATTCATTAGTATCAAAATATATATAATTTATGTTCCTTGAATACTGGGCGCATAGCCCTGTGTACTACTTTATTAATGAAACAGAATTTATGTCTGTGTTTTAACTAGCTGATTTCTTGTGAATTTTTTTTTATAGATTTAGTTTTTTACGTGTTGAATACTCTATTTCAAACTGATACTGATTATTAAGAATAATCCTGTTAAATACATGGATATCAGTCATATCACACACTTACAGATCTGAGCTACGTCTTCACAGATTGTCGTGTCCTTCATGGTTATATGAGTCAGTATGTTCATCTGTAGACGGAATATCAGTACGTAATCAATGTCAACACTAATGACACACTTCTCTCCAGGTTTTCTGTGGTATCCGCTTGATCTCAGGTTTCTCTGTGCTGTGTTAAAACTGGATAAATAAAAGACGGCGTCAATAGAATTTTCACTTTTTAATATATGGGGCATAATCTCCTCCTGGGCATGCCTGGTGAGGCGTTCCCTTGTTTGATCCTCCCAGAGAAAATCAAATGACTTCAGTCTGTCCAGAGTCTGCTTTGCTTCCTCACTTGTTACAGGATTCTCGTACGTTGCAACTCGTATCTCATTAAGTATGTACAGCCACTCTGTGTCAGTGAAGTCAGGAGGATCGGAATCAGAACACAGGAAACAGAATAACATGGACACCTCATCAACAGTCAGTGTGGAGAAATGGTCTAAAGATAAAAAGAATTATGTACTGTTATAATGAATTTTAGCTATAAACTTAAAATAAATATTTTTGATATGATCATATTGCTGGTACAATGTATATTAAAGGCCCCAAGCAGCCAAAAAGCCGGTTAACATTTTGAAAAGCAGTTTCCTCTCTTAAGGTACAGTACCAACGAGACCCAACCCGACACCTAAGCAGTCCCAGAAAGCAGTCCCCGGGACTGCTTTGGGACCCCTCTGGGACTGCTGTGGGACTGCTCTAGGACCGCTGTGGGACTGCTCTGGGACTGCTGTGGGGCTGCTTTGGGACTGCTCTAGAAAGCAGACCCATCAGTCCCAGCAGTCTTTGGGACTGCTTTGTTCACTCATGCGTGAAATGGCTTTGGTTCTCCTCGGAAACATGTGATTGCTGAATGGAGCCTTAGCAGTCTGTTTTCTTTGAGAGTCAAAGAAGTGACGCAAGTCTTTAAGGTTTTCAATCACATGTTCTTGTTTTTCAGATGCCAAAGACGCAGCGGCACTTTCTCCATCACTGGTGAAATGGGAATTGACGAGTGGACGGTCATCACTTTGTTACTCCCCGATACAGTTTGCGGCCCATCTCTTCTCATCTCCAATGGTTATCTCCGGAGGAATGGTTGCAGTGCAGTCTTTCTGTCCTGGGCAGGTAACTTCCTTTCCTTTGCTTTGTAGGTGTGTGCCTTTCTTGCATAGTTTGTTCCCACAGAACACTGCCACCACATTTTCCCTCTGAGTTACATTTTCACTTACGGTATAAGTCACTTGAGTGGCAGCTTGAAATGGGTTTTTTCCAATGGCACTGAAGTTGGCATTATCATACCGAGCATCTCCTTCCGCTCTGATAGCAGTATCATGAAGTCCTTATTTTTCAATAATTTCTTGATTGTTTTGTCTATTTTCTTCATACTGTTTTTATTTACTTTGGTGATAATTTTTCCCAATCTGTTGCAGGTTTGTTGCATATTGGCGGCTGAAGCTGGTTCAATATTTGCACCAAGAAGCATACCACGCATACCCTCTGTTGTAAGACTGGTACCCAGGTGACCGACAGCCATGGCCACATTTAGCTGTGCAGCTATTCGTCCTCTTCCAGACCCCCTAACCTCTTCGTAAAGCTTTTCTCGGTGACTGGTATAGTGGCACTTCTTACATCGGATGGAAAGGATCAATGCCAGGTCTCATTTTTCGTCCCCATGCTGATTCCAGTCCATTGAACCGTGAAAGTCTTGAAACTTTTGTGAGTGTTCTTTAAATGCGTGATTCCACAATTTAGCAGTCTTTTCTTGGTGAAGTACTTTGTATAATTTTGAATTCGGGTCATCTGACATAGCTTCCATATAGGAGTCTACAGGCTGGACTTCACTTGGCCCGGGTCGCAAAATCTTCATCTCGGTTATTAGCATCTGTATCTGCAAACATTCCATTTTTCAGTGGCCTTACAATGTCACTAAACTCTTCTTTACTTAGTCTTCTTACGGGAACTAGAAATTGGACTTGGCTGGTAGTCCCTATATTCTTCTGGCCTTTGTTGTGAGGAATACTTCCTTTTTTGTATTGAGGTTGATGAAACCATTTTGGTCCTTTTTTGGCATGATTATTTTGTTAACTGTACACTTGCAGTATTGTTGACTTTTGTGTTGTTTATTTTACAGCTGCCTGGTCTTCTAAAAGAAACTCCATTCTTTGATGAATAATTGAAAAGCCTCATCAATTCCCCTTTGCTAAAGAACCCCTTATCTTAATCACCAGCCATTAAGCAGTGATCACTGTTATCAAAGCTTCAAGGTACATCATTGAAGTCTCTTTTGACACCATTTTTTCGAGTCTCTGACTTTGTTTTAGAATTCAGATTTTCAATTTTTTGCTAATTAATTCCTTCTAAATCAGTAAACTTCCCGTTTCTTAGCTAATTAGAGCTTATTAATTAGAGTTAAAAAAACTTTTAAGCAGATAGCCAAGAACTTCAACATTTTAGCTTGCATTTCATTCCAAATTTTTTTCTCAATAATTCACTCTTTAGATTTTTTCAAGTTTTGAAATTAATATACTGTAGATGAATTTGTACAGAAATTTAGCCTAAAATTCAAAAATCTGTTAGGAAGAATTATCTCCTATTTTTCATCCCTTAAGGACAAAGATGAATTTTGATGCACTAGTATATGAAAGATAAATAAATAAAAGAAATTTTCAGCAAATTTCATTTAATTTCATTTAATTTCATTAACATTTAGTTGTCTTAAAGGTCTTACGCAAGGAAATAGCCAGTCAAAATGAACTTAGTCAATTATAGTTCTCTATATAGAGAGACAATTTCTTTTTCTTTTTTCATTTTCGGCAACTTATTTTAGGCCTACAGTATTAATTTTGGACTCATGTACTAGGAATATCATATCTACAGTATTTACTCTCAATTTTCTTTCTTAAACAGGTTGGAGAGAATACTCGAAATCGGGTATTATCCGTGAACTCGCGTATAGTCCCCGAAATCGGGGTATCGTTGTATCCGCGAAATCGGGTATAGGCGGTGTAATCACCTTATAAAACTTAAACAATGGGATGGCGCATTTTGCCGAGTCAACTTTCACCTAGAGACAAATGTTATCTAAAGGTATCACTAGCCAAATAACAATTTGGAAGTCTGAATTAATGCGCATATGACAACAAATGCCCGTGGAGCTTAGTACATTTCATGATCTTCACCCAAACAAACGTTTGTTCTGCTTTTATATGTTATATAATGTTAAATGTATTTGCATCTTCTTCATGTTCATACCCAACACAACAGAACTATTAAATATCAGAAGTCTGGAATTTATAATATTTCCACATCAATACGACAAACATGAACATTTTGTAAATAATTCAATTTATAAGGAAACACATTTCACACACAAAATAATCTGACATTTAAACAGGGGGTTTTCTATTGTATTTAATTATGCGTCATTAATTGCTTTAACATTCATCTTGTGCATAAAAATAATTCATTACAAAATGTATAAACTATTTAATGGTTAAAATGTTTCAAATTAAGACAAAAACTAATATAACGCGTATATTATTTAGTATTTTTTCGGGGGGGGGGGGGAGGGGGTTGTTGTTGTTGTTATGAATCTATTTCATCAGTTAATTTCTTGTCGTTGAATAGCATTCCTTACATATATCTTGTACCGTACATAATTATGTTTTATAAACAGAGAATGACAATTAAAGCTAATTTCCAGAAGTTATAAAAGGCGACAAATTCTTTCTCATTTATTTTTTTTAAATTATTAAAATTTCCTTTGGATTCAACATGCCTCCATGCAACGTTTTAGCAAAGACAATGATGTTCTCAGCAACATAGCTTGTGAGAAAAAAATAACTGTTGATCAATTAATTTCGCTGAGTCGGCAATATTTTACCATTTTTCGGCGACTTCAGGGGACGAAAGCAAATAGCTATAACGGTTGTTACTAGCTGCTTATATTAATTATTCCTTGTCTGGACTATCTCGGTCAAGCGAAAATTAACCTCGAATGTGCTATGCATGTGTCCAAGAGAAACATCCCTCCCCTTTCAAAATAATCAAATTAAATGTAAAATGTTATTGTAGAGTTTTGTGCTAAACGTCATTGAATGGTATATATTCATTGCATGATAAAGAGAGAAGATCTATTCATCTAATAAAAATCATATTGATTCCCTATTTTGCCCTCTTGAGTGAATAGAATTCTTCATATCTCCAAAACATTCATGCAATAATTGTTTATATACCGAAACAATATGAGGTTAAAATAGAAACCTGTTATTTTCTACCACATTCGACAAGTTTTAAAAATAACTAAACTTCATGTTTATTTTTTAACACATTTTTCACCATAGATGAATAATAACAAAAAGTAATAACCATGAGTAATAAGTATCACAGATTACAGAAAAGACAGGGAATTATGAAGTTGTAGTTCCCTGTCACGTGACGTACTGTCTAGAATCAATCAGATAACGTATTTTAGCATATTATAATGAGGTTTAAAGCGATATAACCTAAAATAAACTACTGACTCTGAAGGGAAAATCTACCCTGTCTATCCAATACTATAATAATAATAACTAGAAACTCATTGCGAGCAATGAGAGGTCTTCCGTCCGATTCTGAAAATAAAAATGAAAATTCAAGCTGGAAAAGTGATAAAAGAAATTTAGATACTTTGCAGATTTAACCCTGGTCGTCAGCGGCAAAATCCAACGCGCTAACCATTACGCCATTTCAACTCCCGCTTCAATGTGAAAATGACGATTATCAAGAGTTTGGATTTATCAATTCGAAAACAAATTATATAATTAGTATTTTGAAAAGAGGCTCTCTTAACCCTACAAATATTACAGAAAAATATTGAAGTTGAAGTAATATTTTTTTTAAATTCGCATCTGGTAGCGAAGGGAACTAACGACGACGCTTGAAAAAGTCCCTTTGCCAATCTAGAAATCATGTTCTATCATCTCTAACCAAAAAAAAAAAAAATAAAAAATAAAAAATAAATAAAAAATAAAAAAAGAAAAAAAAAAGAAAAAAGAAAAACACTCAACATCATTTATAAAGATGAAAACGTAAATTTAAGCAAACAAATTTGGGATTAAACCCAGATCACCTTCGTGAAAATTCAATATGGAAACCACTACACCAGCGCAATTTTACCAGCCATCATCAATGTTTACTTTCTATCATTGCCTGAAGTAACGAGCGTCAGGGAGGTTAAAAGTTTTTATTTTTATATAGTGCGGAATTATAGATTTAGAGCTAGCTAGACAAAATTTTATGCAAGCAGATTCACATCGGAATTCGTTACTTGAGTTTAATCAATAACAAATAATCTATTACTGATGAACTGATGATAGTGTTTACTCCCTTTATTCTTTGTGTATTCAACTTTTTATTCCATGCAATTCCATATACCTATATTTCATACAAACGTGTCCGTGTAATCTTTTTCTACACTTCTGCATCAGACCATTTTTCTACTATGAAAAAGAGGCACGATACATTATTTTGCACCAAAAGTCACGAGTAATTCTTCGCGCCTTTCCTTTGAAATGTATGTTCTATTGAATGGTCTCTATTCAATAGAATATATATTGTTGTATGTACCGTAAAAATTACTCATTTTATTGCATTTGGATTTCAGAGTATTTGTGTTTCAAAGACAGCTTATCCATTTCATAATCTGTCAGATCAAAAAATTCCTTCATATTTCATTGATCCTTATGGTAGTTTCATTCAACAAGACACTCGGCTGTCTCCGTAAACTCCGACCTGCCAATCGGCAATCCTCGACTGACTCCGCTACGCTCCATATAAACCTCGGAATTGATTGGTAGAGAAAAATGCATCAAATCGATTACATTTCTCTGCCGGAAACTGCCTTGTAATTCATTTCATATTTTACTCTGCATAAAATTCTTCAAACATTTTTTTTCTTTTGTCTAATTCTTCCTTGTATATTGGTTTTGATCACAACATCATGAAAGTAGTCTTTGAAAGCAAAACATAGTGTTGGGTGTGCTTCAAAGTAACTCAGACTTCAAAGGTATAACATTTGGAGGAATTTCAAATAAGATCACATGACTGTATCAGCAACATGGTAGAACACCATTGACGTCCGAGGTTAGCGTGCGATGAACGAGCCCTCCGAAGAGTTCCGAGTGCCATCTTGCTCGTCGGAGTTTACGAAGACAGCCGCCATTTTGGACCCGCTTCAAATTTTAAAATGCGAATATCTAGAGTTTGGATTTATCAATTTTTAAACAAATTATATATTAAGCCTTTTTGGAAATGTCTCTATTAATCCTACTAATATCAAAGAAAAATATTGAAGAACAAAAAAGTTAGAAAATTCGACTTTTTAAATTCGCATCCAGTAACAACAGGAAGTACCGACGACGAAAGAAAAGTCACGTCCAGGTTGGATTTTATCATGTTCTATAATCCCTGAAAGTTTCACATTGATATCTTTAGCCGTTCTTGAGATTATCCCTGGACAAAATTTCATTTTAAAATCAGGAAATGGTCCATAACTTGGCACCGGATGTGATTAATGAAATTTACTCTCGGATAAAATAAATTCAGCCTACGACACGTTTTCCCTGCAAATTTCATACCAATCCACCCAATAGTCTCCGAGAAATCGCGTGCACAAAATTAGAAAGTCAAAAAAATAATAAGAAGAATAACTAGATGAGATCTCGTTGCGAGCAACGAGTGGGTCTTCCGTCCGATTGTTGAGAAGATGAGACAAGAATTTGACTGAGATTTTCGTTCATATAAAATGATATGAATAAATTGTTAAGACAAACAATTTTGCTTTAATAATGTTTAACAAAATATTGATCATTAAAGGGTTATAGATTAAAGACTTTTGGCCCTTCTTGGCCCCTAATGTGAGAGGTCAGCTTTTTCTTGATATCATCTTAAAGCTCTCATGATTTTGAACACTTTTTGTTCAACAATTATTCAG